TTTGCTGGGCCCACCCTTCTGTTTTTGTACCGCACTTTGAGAGGGATTTTGTATTGTTTTACGTAAGTTATTATAGAGGGAGAGACCGACCACATGAACACCAATAAGTCCATAACCAATTGAGATTATTATTTTAGAATATTACTTAACTGTTGTGTAAATGTTTATGACTAGTTAAAACTACTCTATTGTCAAAATGGAGGTTTACTAACTAAGTTTTAGTTATAGTTAAGTTTACTTGCGTTGTTTATTGTGTGAAAATGATTTGAAAAACACAAACATAAGAATTTTAAATTAAATGATAGCTTTAATGAGAAGTTTATTAAATTATATGACATTCAGTTCACTAATAAGTATTCAAATAAAAAAAGGAGAGAAACAAAAGTTTGTGTCAATTAAGGGAAAAACAAGTGTTAAGTGTTAGACACGGGAACGCATGAGCTCTTCGTTGATTTGTTGTAAACCAGTGGAACTCCAGCCGCCCATCGGTCCGATCCGATGGTTCCCATTGTCACCACTCGGACCACCGTTTCTAAACGCATTGACGGGCGACGGCTCCGCTTTGAAGTTATTGTTGTTATTATTGTTGCCGTTGTTATTGTTATTTGAGTGTAAAAACAACTCAATGTATCGTTTCTCTGCACCGATTGAGACAATCATTAATAACTATTTCAAACAGTAATAAATCGGTGCTATTCTTACGAATGAAGGCCTTATCCTTATTCATGGCTTTAACGGAGTCTTCATGAGAGGCGAACTCGACGTCCGCCTCACCGGATGGTCGGCCCAAGTCGTCGATCAGGATTTGTACGTTTAATGGCCTCAACGGCAAAAAGAACTCATAGATCTCTCCTTCGCTACACTTATATGGCAGTCCTCTCATGTGAACGCTATGGCGACCCATATATGGCATCGGGTTGTGTTGTGGCGGCTGTGATGGGTACTGGTCGTACGCATACCGACCCCCATATCCCGGTCGACCACCTAAACAATCGGCTCATTTCAAAAACCCACTCAACACAAGCATTACATCAAAACAATACCTCCTCTAAAATCGATGTCTTCGTAGTCGTAAACACGTCTGGAGGCGCCGGGAGGGGGCGGTCCGCGCGAAGCGCCCGTAATGGGAGGCCCGCCATAACCGCCACCATTACCGTAAGGAGAGCCGCGAAATCGGTTTGGATAGGGAACTGGTCGTGAGGGGTGTCCGTAACGCACCTTATGGTAGGGAAACGATGGCGGAGATGGGGGACCGTATGGGCCGTCGCGACCGTACGAGTGATGGCCACCACCTCCTCCTCCGTGTCCTCCGCCTACCGCTCCCCTATGGAAGGATGCCTTGGAATCCATATATGATCTGACGGCTCGAAACTCTTGGAATGAACTTTTGAATATCTCAATGTACCTAAACATACATATCATGTCAGTTATGGTTAATTCAATACATAATTGTCTCAAAAAAGCAATTTATAAATTCCTGTTTTCACTCTCTTTTATATTTTTCACTGAAAAATAGTATTAGTTTTGGATAATAAGGAATACAATACTGGACTTAAAATAGAGGTAAAAAATAAAATAATAAATAAAACAGAAGGAAATGAGAAATTAAACTACAATTTAATAACTGATTTGTTAATCAAACAGAAGGTACTGTTGTCAGCCCTCCCGGTATGAGAACAAACCCAGTGGTAAAATAGATATATATTTAGATTGTAATAATTCCCGGATCCCACCGGTGCCCACCTGTGCCCAATTTTTTCCTTGTGTTTGGTCATAGCCTTGTCTGCAATATCCCTGGAAGCAAATTGAATGTAAGCCTCCCCTGTGCTCCGACCCGTATGGTCTGTCGGCAGTACCATCCCATCCATCACTAATTCCAACCCTGATTGACAACATATGGATTCACAATTTCGTACAAAAACATTAACACCAATTACCACAATATTTACGCCCAATTAATACATTATTCATTTATGTATTTCATTTTACACTTATTATTAATACCATAATTAACAAGTTATAGGTCTATATGTGTATAATTAAGGGACAATTATAGTTATACTAATAAATTAAATTATGTATCAATCCAAATATGGTTATTGTATGCATTCATCACGTTATATATCAATACATCACTTGTTAAACATTAATTATCAATACTTTTATGCAAATATTATGTGATATTAAGTTAAGTCAATCTTAACGCAAACTATAGGCAAATTTATCTCACTTTATATGCATTGATTCAAACTTTAAAACTATTAGCACTTAATTATAACACATTTGTTGTGATAAAAATGGTTAAATTAGAAATACTATTATTTAAGGAATATAAGGGTAAGTAATACCACAACTAAATAGCATATAATGTGTTTAAACAGCATTTGATGGCAAACCTGAGAAGAACTGAAGGATGTCATCCCTATTGGCGCTGAACGGCAGACCCCGGAGTCTCACAAACGAGTCCTCATAGGTTTGGGTGTCATTCATATCATTGCCGTGTTTTCTGCAGATGTACTCCATTTCATTCTTCTTCGATCCAAACACTTCTATATATCTGTTAATTATATACCAATCAATACATCAATTTAACCGCACATTCAATTCACTATACTTTCACTTAATCTAATGGCAAACACTAAATGTCTCAAACACTGTATAAATCAATGTCTAAATAATTATTATTACAAAACATAATCCCAAAAATAAATACAATAAAGTATCGCAACATCTGATCCACTAATTGTGTAACCATTTCACTACCCATTCATTATAATACAAATACAAACACTAATTAATGTACGAAATGATAAGATGAGAGACATGTAATGAATGGCAGACCTATTGCCGAGATGTTTGTTATTCATGCCGAGCGCCAGATTGTAGTCCACTTCGGACTCGAGCTCGACGTACGCTTCGCCAGAGGGTCGGCCCTCACGTGACAAAGTCATGACAATCCCGTTCACACCGTTTCGGATATTACACCCTATGAGACAACATAAGACAACACATCCATCAATACATCCCAAACCAATCACACCATCCAATCATCGATACATACCGTCGAAGAAGGAGACAATCTCTTCGCGAGTCGACTGCCAGGGAAGACCTCTGATCCGCACGACATACCCCTCCTCTGCCATCACTCACACCACCACTACTCGTGTGTCCGCACACTTGAGGTCGGCTTTCGTCCAACGATTAGTTGTGTCGCAGATATTCAAAGCGACCGTCGGTTTCAACGCAAACCACAGCTCATAGGAAACGGCAAAACAGTTTGCATTCAATTCAATACAAACAACAAAAAAGTGCCGAAAAAAATGTTTTGCACCAAAAATGTTGGGCTCAGAAATGGACACTCAATTACGTCCGCCTTTTACTAGGCTTTCGAGTCGACTGTTTGGACACACTTTCACTGCACGCTTGAGTTGACTGAACGCCGCGCTTACGATTCGCCCTTACGTTCCGTACGTAAGCTTACGATACACTCTATGGCCACGCGTTTGGCCGCAATAGTCGGTCGTTCGATGAGTCACTAATGGGGCCGTTATTGCCGGTCATTCCCCACACCTATTGAACGCCATATTTATTATACAATCGCATAAAATACAGTCAAATCCCGTTTTAATGTCGACCCTAAGTATGACAGAGTCAGTCACACGAGTCACTCGCTGTCCACTCAATGTCAACATTTATGGCCTAATAGTGTGTGCGTTAATCGCTGTCAACTCTGACACACTTCAACTCTGATTCACGCGAACGCGTGTCAAACGTGTGTATCGGACGAGCGCTGGCTTTGACCGTAACTGACGTATGCGTGAGGTATTTGAGGGACATTCACATATGACGTGACGACAGGTGTGTGTGGGCTCTGTGTATGCGAGAGATGTTTACGAGTATAGTATGCGTGAGTGAGAGGTGAGGGGTTTGTCCCGGAGTGTCAATTGTGTGACACGTGATGTGTGAATGGAGTGCTGAGGAGAGAGTGAATTGTGTGTTGTTTTTAGTGGCAAACATTGAATGACTCAATGAAGTGATCATTTCATATGACATTCACATTGAGTGCTGTTTTTTAGGCAACAAATTGTTTGCCATTCAATCAAACCATTCATTGAATTGTAAATCAAGTGTTTATTTGATATATAAATGCATTGTTTTCATAGACCAGACGTATTGACAGTCAAACTAAACGCTCACTCATTATAAACAGGCATTGAATTTGTGGTGAAAACTCGGATCCAGTATTAAATCGTTGACCGAAACCAACAATGAGTTTCCTATTGTAAGTATTGGTTGTGTCTGTTGTGTGGTTTGGGATCTAATGATGTGATGATCTGTGTCTCAGTGGGAGCCGATCTAACAAGACGTTTAAGCCGAAGAAGAACATCCCTGAAGGGACGCATCAGTACGACCTGATGAGACAGGCGGCCGCCACTCTCGGCTCCGGGAACTTACGTCTGGCCGTTATGTTACCCGAAGGCGAAGACCTCAACGAATGGGTCGCCGTTAACAGTATGTCTATCCTATTGTATTGTATTATCGCAGTCGCTATCCGTGTTGAGCCGCACTCACCGGCCATCGCAACCACCACTTCCCACTTCACCCCCAGTATCTCTCTCTCTCTCTCTCTCTCTCTTCCCCTCCCTCTCCCGTTAATCCCAATTTGATTAGTGTTTTCATTGATCCCAGAAATAGACAATAAGTGAATACAATTGTCAATTGATAACATATTTAATGATTGATTGGTTTTGACTGAATTGAAGCCATAAAGCAGTTGTAGTTTCACTCCTTGTCTCTCAAAACCTGTTTTATTATTAATAAGTGTTTTGTTTTATTAATAACACTGTTTCCGATCTCGTATTCAATAGCCTATCGATAGTTTTAATTAGTTTTTTGGTGTTATTTTTTCGACACTTTTAGTGTTAATAATAAATTAATGCAAACATTTGTTTCGTACAAACAAACAGTGTTTATGGTGTATATGTCTGGCACTCGTTATGACACATACAATATTTGTGTTGTATTTTGTTTTTTTATAGACACTTATCACTAAAATCTTGATTAAAAAGTGTAATTGAAAAGTGTTTTTTAATGAATGGATAGTTTAGTTTCAATATATTTTTTATATAGAAATGAATGACTAGTTTTTCATATGAATCCAAGGGCTAAGCCTTTAGAGAGTACAGGAAATGCATTTTCCGGGAAATTACATGTTATTATATGAATGACTATTTGTTTATACGATTGTTGTATTGATTGTATGTTTTGTATTGACACAATCAGCGGTGGATTTCTTCAACCAAATCAATATGTTGTTCGGAACCATCACTGAGTTCTGCACCGAAGACTCGTGTCCACTCATGTCGGCCGGACCTAAGTATGAGTACCACTGGGCCGACGGCCAGACCGTGAAGAAGCCCATCAAGTGTTCGGCGCCTAAATATATCGATTACCTGATGACATGGGTTCAGGACCAGCTCGACGACGAGACACTCTTCCCATCCAAAATTGGTATATATTCACACATATAGACACACCTGTTGTCACTTGTGCTCACACCTGTGCTCTCTCTCTCTCCCCCTCTCCAGGAGTTCCGTTTCCCAGACATTTCAATACGATAGCGAAGACAATACTGAAGCGTTTGTTCCGCGTTTACGCCCATATATATCACCAACACTTCCAAGAAGTGGTCCAATTGGGAGAGGAGGCGCACCTCAACACGAGTTTCAAGCACTTTATATTTTTTGTACAGGAATTCAATCTAATCGACAAACGAGAGTTGGCGCCACTCAACGAACTCATCGACAAGTTGGCCACCGGTTCCTCCCATTCGCACCATTCACTCCATCACAACACACACACCGCCGCCACTGAGAGCTCGGCCCACATCTCGTCACTGCCGGCCCGTTGACAGCCCGTCCGCCGACACCAACACCCTCTCAGTTGTATCTCTATCCGTGTATAAGTGCCTCAAAACTTATCAATCAATTGTAACACTAAATTAGATAATGTTTTCAAATTTCTTTGTTAACTAATTATATTATTTATAGAAGTTTTTCGGTTAAAAAGACTTGTATTAAAAACAAAAACAAATACTAACGTTTGCTCGTTTTTCACGAATATTATATGTGTTTTGAATAATATTCTAAATAAACAAAAATAATGTTCAAAACAATAATATTAACTAAAATGTGCTGACATTTGAAGAGAGTGTTTGCCTTTTGAATGTTGTCTCAAATTGCGATAATTGGTTGCAAATGAATAACATTTGTTTATATCAATTGTCTCTCTTTTAATCTTTATTTATCTTTTTATGAAACGCTCATTTGTTTTGTTTAAATCGATTTAATATAACATTTATTATTATTACAGTTATTAGCGCTTTATGTCTTTTTCCAACATTTTTTTGTCTAAAAATTGAAATAAAAGTTTTTTGGAAATCAAAATAAATATATTTAAATATGTTTTGCCTTTTGTAAGCTTAATTTGTCTAAAATTACTATAAAAACTGTAAAGTTCTGATAAAACTTACATTTAATTCACTATCAAAGACATTATGTACAAATGTTATTAACAATAGTTTACATACAAAAGTAACTAAACATTCACATAATAATGATTTAAATGCCAATTATATGAATGGATTTAATTTGAATTAAAGCCTTTTTCAATTGTAATATATTTCGCCAAAATATTTTAAAACTTTGATCAAAAAATTGAATGACTTTATCGTTGATATACCGGTAATTATTAGTCGGTTTATTGACCACAAATGTCACTGTATTTGGTATGCGTTGCGATCCATCACTTCTGGCTTTTCTGTTATCACTTGAAAGCCATTTAAGAAAGTTTAGCTAACAGTGTATGAAAAATTCGTCATAAAATTAACAAAACAGTATAAAACCCAGGTTAAAACTATACAAAAAATTACATACTTTTATAAGAAACTTATTATCAGAGGTGTCATCTTCTAGTGAGCCATCGATTGCTTGTATTTTCATATAAAACACATTCAATTCATTAATTGTAATGTATTTAATGTTTGAATTAGACTTACTGTCGGATACAATGACCAGAAATAATATCACAATTAAAATCATGTCATAAATTGAAAAATGAATTCAATATTTTCCAGAAAATAATACAATTAATTAAAATGCATGTATGGTTGTGATGGGTGCGCATACTTATAGCAGTACCAGATTTAACTATTTTGTTGTAATTTTAATTTCAACGATATTTATATTTTACAACTTATTGAAAATACAATAACCATTTATTAATACTCATTAGTAATTTATTTATTATTAATTAATTTATTACATCAAATAATGCTTAAAAACATATACCCTTTAAAATCTTGCCAAAATTCGATAATAAATTTCCTGACAATTTGTGAGTATTTTTCTATTTTATTTGATATTTAAATTCATTTTATAGATACGTGACATGTATTACATGCATTTTTAATCAATATTATAAACTCTGGAAATCAAAAATCAAATCAAATAACATTTTATTTAAAATTCAATATAAGGTTCATATAAATATAGCATTCATACGATGAAAATATTATTTATAAAATTATTTTTTACAATTTATTAAATATTAACTCATTATAACTATCTGTCAGTAATATAAGAACACATAAATACTAACTTATTATCTCTTAAGTTTCAATCATTTACAGACATCTCTTTAAAACACTAAACAATAGCTATAATTAGTAATTAGTAATTATTAATTACATTTAAATTTACATTAATACTAAAGATATGTTTATGTGACTAAACGATCAAATCTTTGATCCATTGATGACGTAAGACATCGGCAATTGTTGGCCGATCGGAGACCACCGGATCTAATAGTCTGTTAACCATGTCTTTACACATAGTATTCATATTATGAGGCAATTTATATTTACGGTTCAGTTGTTTGTAGCGTTGATAACTTCTTCCTAATTTACCGTAAAGTCTCCAATAGTATAATTTGTTATAGTGAGGGTCTCGGGTCTGTAGCGACCGTTTACGTAATATCCCGGCCGCCAAGTTGTCAAGGCCGCTGAATATCAGAACAGTGCCGCATAGGGTCGACGCTAACTCGCGGCTACCGGTGCTCGACATGTGAACCAATCGGGCGTAACCAAAGTCCGTCAACTTTGCCACCGATCGTCTCTCAAACAGCAGCACATTCTCGCACTTCATGTCCCGATGCGCTATACCCTCGCCGTGCATATACCGCAGACCCTCTGCCATCTGTCTAAACAATGGTCGGGCGGTGTCGTTGGGCACCGGGTGTTCATTGATCATGTCCTTGAGGTCTCCACCCGTCGCGAACTCCATCACCAAAAACAAACGGTTAGACACGAGAAAGTGATCGTATTTTGTAACGATGAACCGGTGCTTCAATTTGTTAATCACATACAACTCTCGGGGCAGAAACTTCTTCTTATAATTGTCTGAAACGGCCATCAAATTGATTATCTTAAAGGCTCGAGTGTCACCCAAAGAGGTCTGGGCCTTAAAGACAAACCCATAATTGCCTGAACTGATGGCCCGGTTGTCCAACTGATAGCCTTTGGTGTTCAGTACGTGTTGTTCCCTAGCATTCAGTTTCAGATCTCCGCTACTATTCTGTGTCATTGGATATGGTTTTCAATTACTTATCACAAAATTTCACTAATAATTAGTTTATGCAATAAAGTTAAAATGATAATTAAGTGAGAACAAAAGTCATTTAATTGCAAATAAATATCGTCAAAATTACATGTCTTAAAATTGAGTTTTTGAAAATAAACTTAAAGTTTATTTAGCGACCTAAAATAAGTTAGTAAATTGCAAATTTGCAGTTATATTTAATCATTACAATCGCTAATAATTGTAATTAATTCACGAGAATTAAAAAATTAATATGTTTTAATCCGGTTTTATCTGAATTCTCGTGATATTTGTCGTCAAAAAGTAATGAAAATAATAGTAAATTTACGCGATTTTATGAAACCGTAAATGAAATGAAAACAGAATTTTCTTTCGCTTCAAATGAATTGCAATTATTTTTGTATTCATTTTTATGGCAAGAAATTCAGTGATAATTGAGTTGTGAATTGATTTTGTGGTCAAAATGTGTGAAGAGTATGGCAAAGACTCTTTGGATCGATTCGGTGATGACTTATGTCAGGAGTTGTTGTCTTATCTCTCACTCGAAGACAAATTCAGATTTGAATTTATTTCAAAGCAGTGGCGAAGAGTAGTCTTCGGGAGACAAACGGATTGGAAATTTGATCCCAAATGGTTGATGAAAACAAGTATTGGTCACATAATGGAGACAATTGGCATGAAATGTGACAGAATGTCATCCATTAAGAAGCCGTACTCTTACAGTTTCGACGACATAGCCATCGATCTACTGATCCAACACTTCCCTCATTTGACAGACATTGACATTGACTTCTGCGGCAAAATGAGTGTCAAAACTGTTGACCGGTTTTTCACTACATTTGCGAAACAATTGAAATCAATTAATATTTGGGGTTTCAATGGAAGAGTGAATGAGGAATGGATTAAGAAATGGATTCAAATGTGTGTTAACTCGGAGTCAATACATGTCTTAACGTGTTGTTGTTCGACATTACAATTGGTGACCGAAAGCCGACTCGCGTTTAAACGACTCAAAAGTATTCACTTCTTCCTCATCAACACTTCTGCGCAGACATTGGATGCGTTTGCGGACAAATACGGCCACCAAATGAAGACAATACACATTACGGCAACGTTTAACAGCAAGTTTGCGTCCGAAGAGGTCGATCAACTAATGGCTTTTTTGCCACGAATGCGGGCATTGGTTAAACTTAGTCTCAAAATCCCATTGTGTTCTCCGCAACCGTTATCTCTGTTATTGACACGAATTGGTATCAATTGTCGGCGACTGAAGAGTCTTCGTCTCGGAGAACAGGAATTGACGCCACAATTGATTCATACGATTAGTGAACACTTTATGGCATTAAAGAGACTAAAGATTTGGGGAATCGCTGTTTCGGCAAAGGCGCTGACCAGCCATTCATTGGCGCCATTCAAACGGTTAACACATTTGAAATTAGTGACAAAAAGGAAAGTAACCTCTTTTACGGACGCATTCTTCACTAATATTGGCTACAATTTACCAAAACTTCAGTATTTGGACGTAAAGTTCGTGAAGATTAGCGACGAGTCGTTGATATCATTGTCTGGATTGAGACAAATCCGTGGCATTACTCTCACCGGACATATTGAACGATATAANGTCTGGATTGAGACAAATCCGTGGCATTACTCTCACCGGACATATTGAACGATATAAGTGGTCGATGAACGGTAAAAGTGGAAATGCAGTCAATAATCTCATCAGTCATTGTCCCAAACTTTGTTTCATTCGTTTCCGATAGAGAAGTTATTTAAATGTTTTATTTAAGTATTTAATAATTTTACACTTTATTTAATGTTTTATATCTCAATACTAAACATTTTCCCGCATTCTCGCAAAAAATTGTTTAATTTACAATTTATAAACTATTTGTAAACTTTGTTAAACTCAAAAACTTTGTTTTTAGTAAAAATTTTAATATTTTAATACAAAAATTCAAATTGATGTCAACGACAATACAAAACATAGATTAAAAGTCTTATTTTATCTAAATTCTCGCGATATTTAAACATGGTTAAAATAACTATAAATATTTAAATGTATTTTTTAATTTAAAAATATTTGTTTGACTTGTTTTGAACTCACAATGAATGAGAAATATTTAATATTGTATTTAACTATCATTTCTGTGATGTTATCCACTGTTATGTCTTTGAGAAGAAATTATCACAATTCATACGAAGACATGGATTATATGAGACGATCACGAGTTCAGAGACCAGAAAATAATAA